AAACAAGATAATATAGGAAAAAATATAATATTAATAATTAACATAAAAGTAAAGTTAAAAAAAAAACACAAAAAAAAAGAATATAGAAATAAAAAGAAATATGGACAGAAGAAAGAAAAAATAAAAGAAAAAAGAGAAAAAAAAGGACTAAAAAAATAATAAGAATTACGAACACAAAAAAATCATAAGACAAAAAAAATACAATACTAAAAATATATTTATAAATTATAATATTAAAAATTCAAATTTACATGTTACAAATTGAAGTATCATACTTAATTGTCATTTAATTCATAAAATTATAATTTTAATTTTTTGAAAGTCCAATTCAAATTCTAATGTACAATCTATACTCAATTTTGTACAACAGATACAAGAAATATTTATATATTCTTTTAGTACACATGAAAAGATGTTTATTTTCTATCACTTCATTAAGGAATTATAAAATATATAAACTGTGTTATTAATTATTATAATTCAATAAATAAAGTATATAACAAAATGTAATGAAATAAATAAATAAATTTACAAAATTAAGATCAAACGATATCTTATGAAATTATAATTATATTTAGTTGGCAGAACTAATAATAATTCCATCATTTTACAATTATTCTAAAATTAAACATACCGTTTTCAAAAGCATAATTAAAAATATTGTCAAAATATTTAACAATTTTATAGCATAATTGATTTTACATAAAAACGACCGTTATTATTGGTCAACCGTAAAAATATGAAGCTTTTGTAGGGTTGAAAAATTATGTTCAACATGTATTGAGAAAAAATATGTTCATAATTAAATATTATATCAATATTTTAATAATATTTACTTACCCATGTTAATATTATTTCATAATTTAGTATTACATAGTTATTTTAACAATATTTACTTACCCATATTAATAGCTACTCATCCAAAAATGGCTTTTGTCAACATTATCCGAACAAGAGTCGTTATACTGAAATCGTTTTTCACATAAATATTTCCAAAATAAATTGTTTTTCTCAAACATACTTCTAACTAAAATCAATTTTATAAATTAAATTTATAAACCCTAATGCAAGAATACACTAAAAAGAACCCGACCAGTGTGTGAACCTTTTTCCTTGTTTCACAACCACTGTTTTCCAATTTTTGGTCAAATTTCTACGACTACTGTGAACCTTTCAATATATTTGGTTTCGGCCATCAGTGTGAACCTTCCAATGAAATATAGGTGGAGCATTTCAACCAGTTCTATGGGTGGCCCAAATCAGACCCATTTATATTAATATGGTAACAAAAAATTATTGGGCTTCGATCAGGAAAAACTTATTGGGCTGGAAGCTTTGTTCCTAAACTTAGTGGGGCTCCTTTTTGCAACTTTATTTTCTATTTGTATTTCTACTTTAACATGTTTTTTATTTATATTTTTCATTTCATTAAGATTATTCACAGGTTAGTTATAATATTTTTGTTTTATCTTTTTAAGGTTTAGATTACTGATTCACATTATCTTTATTGTTAAGGGATCGTTCACAAAGTTTAAGGTTTTCGGAATTATAATTATAATTCTGAAACCATAATTTTCTAGAATAGAATCAACATGCTATAATACATATATATAATTTACTGATTTGTTTGAAAATTATTGATTATTATAATTGCAAGCAAAAAAATTAGTAAATGATGACAAAAACATGTGATTAAGAAGATATACTAATAAAGAAGTCTGTTTATAAAGCTGTAAGAAACTTGTGATTGTATAATTATACAAATATTTAATGTTGATTTAATATAAATTATTTTTTTAGAAATGGATGCTTATAAAGAGGTTGGATAAAAAATTCATGAAAAAAGATTTTGAATTATAATAATACATTTGTTACTGAATAAATCATTAAATAATCAATTTTTAATATAAAATTATCAACATATGGAATTGTATTTATACTTATTTATTTTGTAAATTTTTTACTTGAGATGATCACTCAAGAAGTTAAAATTAAAAATAAATTTATTGTTGGAATTATTAGGTGAAACACAATAGATAAGTAAAAGGACAATATTAACCTTACATTGTAAAAATGTAAACTGCCAAGTAATACTATGATTCATGTGTCTCAGAAAATGTAAATTGTAGAAAAAACAAACTTATATATTGGCTCTTGAACAAGGGTGCTGCCTTGACCCAAAAAAATAGGGTGCTGTCTAATATGCACCCTTTAACTTAGGTGCACGCATGTTTTCTTTAAATTGGTTACTTACATTGATTTGGCGTAAAATTTTTTCTCTGGCTGATATGAATTATTGTGTTACTCACAGAGTAGTTTTAAATTGAAATAATTTTTCAAAATAAATATTAGATAACTCTAAATTTGATTAATAAAGAAGGTATGCAAACCATTATTAAATAATGACGTCTAATATAATTTTATTATTAGTAATTAACATTATTTTTTATAAATGTTATTTAAATTTTTAAAAATTATATCATATATTTTTATTTTTTATTAAAATACTATTTAAAATATTCGTATATTACGTAATAATTTATTATTTTAAATTACTAAAAAGAAGACTGAATTTTTATTTATACTTGTTGCGAAAAATATGCAATAATATGCGAAAGAATGTTTATTGTAATGATAAAATTATATATGTAAATTATGTTGTACCACTTAAACATTTTATTGATATTAATAAAATATAAATTTATGTAATAATGTTGTAGAAATTTTAAATGTGTATGCAATTTCATGATGTAAAATTTTAAAATAAAATTGGTAAATATGACCAAATAATAATAATAAATACATGTATAAAAAAATTATTACTAAAACCTGATTTGACAAAAAAATTAACCTATAATAGCATATCAATTTGGAAGGCGCAAGTGTGCCCTTAATTAGAGAGGTGCACAGTAAAATTCAGCTATAAACAAGTATCCTTATAGACATTAAAATGAGATTAAACTCTTAAGAATAACAGTAAACTCGCATAACGATGATTTCCTAATTTAAACTTTCCACGTAAGATTTATTTGAAGTTTTAATCAGTTTCGTTACAACTAATCGTTATCAAATTTTCATTTTAACAATTAATCATCATAATAATGGTTAATTTTAGGACGTTCAAACCTCAAACGTGGAATTTCTATCAGCTAGGATGGAACTTGGAAGAGTCAAGAATCATCTTGTTAAACGAAATTATAAAAGATAAAATTTAAGGGCAGTATTATAACTATATTTGTATTATTTTTTAATTAAAATTCAATTTTTAATTTAATTAATTGTTTCGATTTTTTATTATGTAAATCATCAAAATAAAATTTTATATTTAATTGAAGAACAATATTAAAAATATTTATACTATTACCTCTAAATTTTGTCTGATTACAAATTGCTGGAGCTTCTTCTATCCAATTAATTTTTTAATACAAAATTGCATAATCATTATTTTTATCTTAAAATTTTAAATTAATTTTTAACTTTTTTATTTAGTTTATTTTCTACTAATGCTTTCTTATGTCTTAATTTCATCTCCAAACTTAATTAGTAAAACTTTTTTACACCGGATTTAACGTCATTATTAATCGAGTGGAAAATATTATTATTTTGAATTAGAAATCTTCATCTATTACTTCTAGACATAAAATATGCTCAAATTAAAATCTATTTATCTTGTTGATTGTCAAGATCCATTAGACCCATCTTTCCCTTGGATTCTTATTTTTCATAATGAAATGAGTTTTGAACAATCTTATAATTTCTTGGATGCTGTAGTTTCCTATGGGTGAATGGTACTCATTGCTCTACAAGGATCACGTATGAGCTTCGAGTTCAGTGTATCTTCGATTCTCAACCACTGAAAATATAATGACGTTGCTTCAACTTCTCAGTTTTATATAGGCTCTTCATTTTCAAGTTGGTGGTCTCCACATGCATATTTGGTAAATTTCATGCCTGTACCTTCATTTCCTTCTACATTTCATGATTGAGAGGAGGAATGTCTGAGTCCCTACGGGCTAAAAAGTTTAACGGTGAAATCAATGATACATGCTTGCCTGTGTACAAAAGGGTTGTATGTTATTTAAACATTGCTATATTTGTTTGAGATCTTCTGAAAATTATATTGGATCCTAAGTAATCTGAATCAATTAGGTCAATCACCTTACAACTGAAATCAATAGTTGTTAATTGAATATTATTACATTAGACTCAACGTATATGTTACATACACAGTATTAATTTTGATTTTGTTGAAGTTATATGATATAATAACTTCATTGCCAATATGAAAAAAGGTCATAATATTGATTTTGCAACAAATTTAGGGAGTGTCTAACTCAAAACTTTTACTTGAGGCAAAGGAATTAACAAAGTTTAGGCCACCTGCCTGAATTGATTGGTCGGAATCATGAGGCATATAGGAAGGAGTTGCAAACAAGGACACCAAAAGGGGTGGCACCTAATTTTGGAAATCTTTTAAGATTTTTGTCACCTATGTGAAAGGAGCTGGAGGGAAAGCCCCATCGCAAGAGATGTATGGAGTTATCAAACAATTAACAGGGTGAGGTTTAATTGATTCTTAGGCAAAGTTAATGAAAGAAAAGAAAAAACTTAAAGGTCGGTTCATTTTTAATCTTTTCTTGACATATCTCATTTTATTACTTTCTTTTAAATATTTTTTCTCTACATTTTTAATGTCTTTGTTTTAAAATCTCTAAATGAATTTTAAATTTTACACCTTTATATTTTTATAAAATTTTATTTTTAGTCATTATACTGACGTGATGTATTAATTACAAAATTATTTGCATGTTAATTTTTTTGTTAGATTATGTTAATAAAATAGACTAAAAATAATTTTTTTAAAAATGTAAGAGTCAAAATAAAAAAAATATTAGAAAAAACAAAAATAGTATCACTAAAATATAAAAATAAAAAACATTTAATTATGTTACTTTCTTTACTTTTTTTAATTTTATTTTGAGCTCCGAATACTTTAGAGTTTAGACCTCTCGTGGGTCTACAAAGAGAGCTCTTGGTGGTGGGGAGTTGGTTAATTCATGAAACATGCTTGTTCCTTCATTTTTCAAAGCCTTTATGCACCATAAGTCCTGGCATGAGAGCAATTTCCAATGTGGAACATGATGATTCAGCTCGTCTCTTCCTCCACCTTCTGTCACAATAATTTTGCAATTCTCACTCTTAGAAGCCATGTTGTTTACAAATTTGCACAAGGCCTTCACTAGCTTCCCAGAGAATGGCCCTTCTTGGTACATTCCATACATGAAGTAAAACCCAAATGGACTAAAAAAATTAGGGAAGGTGGGTAATTTCAAGCAAGGGAAGATTCTATCAATCAAGTTCCAACTCTTAGTGAATAACATGCAAGAAAAAGGTGTTTTCCCTAGCCTTAGCTTGAAGATTTCTGCACTGTTCCATACACTAAGCATAGCCCAACTACTGGGGACTTGTCCATCTGAGCCAAAATCACTATCTTTGAAATAAGCCATCCATGTTCCCAAGCTTAGCTTGTTCCTAAGTATATTTTCTATGTCATTAGGGAAGAACTCAGTGGAGCCCATGAATCTTCTATAGAGGAACTCAGCCTTTTCAATCTTGACCCTAGCTATCTCTATGTTGGATGAGATTCGAAATAAGTGATGATTCACTGGGTTTATGAGTATAGCTGGAGTCCTAAACTTAGTGTAGCCAAACTTGTTCATGAAGAGATTGATTGAGGCATAGTTGTCTTTCTCCGTGGCCATATATGCATACTCCACATCATTGCAAGTGAACCATTCTTCTAGCTTTTGCACTAGGCTTGAGCCAATGCCTTTTCTTTGACCATGGGGTGCAACTCTCAAGCCTAAGACATATCCCACCTTTGCCATATTCTTTTGAGGATGACTACGAATTGTGACCACTTTTATTGAGCCTTGAATGACGCCAACCAATTCATTGTCCATTTTTGCTACCTAACACCAATTTGGCCAGTGAGTAGTGTACATGAGGATCAAAGAAAGGAAATAGTATAAATTGGGATTCATGAAAAAAAAAGTGAGGGGTTGTGGAATCATGAGGACTAATTAAGTAGTTTTAAGTGGCAATGTATAGTGTAGTATACCAGCATTATGTTCATGGGACTGTTTCTGATCCTACACGTGGGGTCACCCATAGTGTCTAACACGCTTTCTGATGGTCCTACTTTGCATCTTCTTCCAAGATCTTCTACTTGAGCTCTATCCAGTTGGCCTTCATAGCTTCGGATTATGAACTCCTTGAATGCCATATTCAACACTTGTGTTGAAGGAGATGTTTGAGTTGTGCTTGGAGAAATAAAGAAAAAAAGATGTGGAAGCTGAAAGCCAAAAAGAAGATAACCCAAATACATATGGCAAGATTGTTCAGCCAACGGGGAAGTAATAATAATACAAGTACTATAACAAGAATGGTTTGGCAAAGACTTCATAATTGATAATCATTTATATGGAGGAAAAATAGAGATATTAGAGAGTTATTATATTATTATAATTTATTTTATAATTATTTTTTTATCATATTACTTATTTTATTTTGTATTTTTGTCTCTTTAATAATTAAAAAAAGTTGTACAAAATGTGAGTACAATTTTTTTCCTACTATAAGTAGAGCAAGACAAAAAAGATAAAAGGAAAAAGTGGTAGGGATGTGAGAACTTTACTAGAATATAAACTACCTAAGCCTACATAATAATAAGAAAAAATATATTTGTATAGCTTTTATAAGATAATATATATATATATATATATATATATATATATATAAAAGAAATGTTTGATAAAATAATTATTGTAATAGAAAATAAAAAAGCAATATTATATAGATTGTATAAATAATATGACTTTTATAATCATAAAGAGCTGAATGTTAGGAGTTTTATAATAATTAACATGTAATTTTAATCCTCAAATAATTTGTTTATTTAAATTTAATTTCTTAAATTTAATGATATAATTAAGTTGTTCTTTCAGATTCTATTTTTTCTTCTTCAAAATTTGTATATATTAAATCAATATTTTTTTATTTAAAACACATGAATTAGACCTTTATATTTTAAACAAAATAAAAATATTTAATTTTTTCTTCTTTTAAAATCGTAATCACCACATACAGTTATAATCTAATTTAAATATAAAATTATATTCTATCAACTTTTTAAGTGTGACGTGAGTGAAAAAAAATAAAAAGAGGTGAATAAAAATATAATTAATAAGAAAATATAAAATATAAACACAAACAAATAAATTTGAAATATAAGAGCTAACCTAATTTCTACATATAAGTTGTGAATATTAATTTTTAAACAATAATATTTAAAAATTAAATAAGAGCGTTTCAAAACATATTATTAAATTAGATAATTTTAGTAATAATTAATTTTTTTATCCTATCAAATAGTTTTTATATATCATATATCATATATTTATTTTAAATTTAATATTAATTTAAGATTTTTATAATTTATAAAAATGTTTACATTTAAAAAATTCATATAATATACATTTAATTATTTATTTTTAAAAAATTTAATATAATAATACCAAAAAAAAATTCTGGTTTATGTAGCCTTGTTTGGTGGCTCACGCACGTAAGCTATGATGCACTCCCCCACGAACCTGTGCTTTTGTCTTATCATGGTTCTTTTGCCAATGGATGATGAGAATATGCTCAAAAAACAGGTGCATGAATTTGGGATTGGATCAAAGTTATTAAATATTTTTCAGTAAGGACCGTTTGATGTGTATTTTTATTTTTATTATTATTATTTTGAATGAAAGTTTTGAGAAATATCACAAATGTATTTGGTGTATGAAAGATTCTTAAAAACATTTTTATAAATGTGATAATTTTTTTTATAAAAATTTAAATTATCACATCTTTCATGAGAATATTTTCTGAATTTGTCACTGTGAGAAGTTATTTAAAAAAACTCTTTCAATAATATGATAGTGCTTTATATGAAATATAAAAATTACAATAATTAGTTGGTTTTTCTTGCCTACTCAATCTTAAATAGTTTTGGGATAGTTTTTTAAGCTTTTTGTCAGAAACATTTTTTTAACTGTTGATAAAAGTATATAATTATTATAAATTTCCTTAAACTTTAATTTAAATTAAAATAATACTCTTACTTTAAACAGATATAAGGTGTTTGGGAGAGGAAGTTGCCAATTTAATTAGGCTTTTGTAATGGTAGCTGCAATGTCCTTATCTTATTAATAAAAAGAAAACAACAAAAAAATTTCCACGTTGCAACATATTTTAATGGGAAGTGTTAATTAGAATGTTTATGGTATTGGTTAGGAAATACAAGTAAAAGGTTTTTGTAGTGTAATATATTTGTTATTAATATATTTATTATAGTTTTAAATTAAAATTATTTATTTATTTATTTTTAGACTAATATCTTTAAGTTGTTAATAGACTTATTTTACTTATAAATAGATTTTTTATTATATTATTAAATAATGTGATATGATTATATTAGAGAAAAAATAATGTTTATTAAAAAATTCCATGATTGTAGATAAAATTTACTAATTAAATTTGATTATATTTCATTTTCTGGTATAACTATATCAATAATATAAAAGAATTAAAATCCTTTAATTGAATTGAAGTTTTGCTATTCGGTACCTTAATGATTTTAGTAAGAAATTAATAAATAAATTATTTTAATTAAAATATAAAACTATATGAAAAATACATTATAAATCACAATGAAAATATATTATATCAACATATTTTAATAAAATTGTTTATTTTAAATAATATTATTAACATACTGGTTATCATTCATTAATTGTTTTAATTATAATGTTTGTGTGGATGCTGTGTAATATATGGGGGGTGATGGCCCCTCTCCTTACACACGAGATTGGAAAGTGAAAGATAAACCCCACTCACCCCTTTGCTTTCTGCAAATTATAAGTTTTATAATTAATGATGAGATTGCCTTAAATTCCTAACAAGGCACCACGCTACCACTAACGTATAGTGATTATATGATAATTGTAAAATCAACTTTTGAGAGAGAAAAAAACAAAAGACCCGCTAAGTTGGAATCATGCACGGCTATATTAGTTGCTATAAATGGATTTTTTAAAATGTAAAATACGGTATTTTTATTTTTAAAAGTTAAGGAATTGTACTTGAACAAAAAAGTTATTAAATTATAAAAATTTTACATAAAATATATATATATATATATATATATATATATATATATATATATATATAAGTAAGAGAATTATAAATTTAAATTATTAAAGTTTGTTAATATAAAAATTGCTTAAATCTAAAGTTTACTTTCTTCTCATATTCTTGTGAATTGGATAATATTTAAAATTTAATATAGTTTTGAAATTTAATTTTAAAAATGGAAAATAAAATAAAAGATTCGGTATTTTAAAAAATATGAAGTCTAATAAAAAATAAAATAGTTTAAAAAAATAAAAGAATACAAACCTATAGCATTTTATAAAAACTCGAAAAAACTCGCATAAACTAGATTTTTAACAGATTTAAAGTACAAACACAAGTTTAAAAAAATTAAAATAAAATTTGAGGAGAATTTTAGATAATAAATTTTTATAATAATTTATTAATAATAAATTATATATAAATAAGATTATTAATAATTTAAATTGTTAATTAATTTTTTAAAATAAATAAGTCACTTAAATTTTTTTATTTTTTGTTTTTACATTAGACGTGGTTGAAGTTTAAATTATAATAAAAGTGTATGCTATTAAAGAAGAAAATTATTAAATTATTAGTAGTAAAAAAAAGACAGATATGAATTGCCTTATTTCATCAAATATGGAAACAACCACGAAAAAACATAGCACGAGAATTAACACTTGAATATAAATAAAAATTTGTATATGTTATTTGAAAAATGTTTCTGAATAATAAATTTGTCTGTAATGTGAAAAAGTACGAAATAAATTTTAAAAATTATTATAAATTAATATATTTTTATGTATTTTAAAATTAACAATAAAAAATATTTTATTTACTTAATTTGTAAATAAATCCATTTTAGAGCCTTACATGTTTTTGGTATCTTATGGATTAGTGGATTTACATTTTCGTGCAGGTGTTGGGGGTTTGTAAGCAAGAAATGATTTGGCTTAGTTGGGAACACAGGTCAAATGGCTTACAACACGATTAAAGAGTGTAATTATACCGTCATAAAATATTCAAAAAATACATTTATTTTACTTTTATCAATTTTTAATTTTAAAATAAAAAATAAAAATAAAATAATGTGATACTTCATAATCATTAATAAAATATATACTTAAATAATAAAAAAGTGCTTGCTACCGGAATTTTATACTTTTTATAAATTGATAGTTATAATTATTTAAATATTTTTAATTTATTTATGTTTTTGTAATATAGGTTGTTAATTTCATTATCAATTATACATATTTGATATAATATTAATAATTATAATTATTTAAGGTAAAAAATATAAATTATTTTTTTTAATCTAGGTACCATAAAAATTAATAAATAAAAAAAAGGAAAAACACATTTTTCTGAGCGTGATGTCCCTAACGAACACTTGCAGGATAGTGCGGCTTTGCTTTCACACACTAGGAATCTATTATATATAGGAATCATGCTTCAGCTTAGGTTTGGTTGAGTTTAACTTAATCTTATCCCAACTTTTATATTTTTATGGAGCTACAATATTTAGGTTCGGTCTTAATCATTAATTGACTCATAATTGGATTGAGATTGACACTTTAGACAATTAATGTACACTGTAATATATATAACCAAATAAGATTTCAAATGTACCAACAAACTCTACCACAGTTGAGACACAGCTATGTTTCTTGTATATGCTGACTAAGGTTTAATTTCTGATTAAAAAAAGTAAAATTATTTCAATAATTTTTACATTTCAAATAGATTTGATTTTCGCCATTAACTGGGAGAGGAGAATGCTTTTAGTGTAAACAAAATAAAGATTTTACAAGCATGAAAATCACAGTAGTACAAGACATTGTATTAATACATGTTTTTAAATACATTATATATATCTTAAGCCATTATCATTTTATGCGTAAAGTATTAATTTTAAATAAAATGTTTTATAATTCATACTTTTTGGTTAGAAAAGTTATAATACTAAAACATTATAGATATTGGACTAAATCAAGTTAATCTCTGAATTATAACTCTCTCTCTTTTTTTAAATCTAAAAACACGTCAAATTTAATTTTCAAATTC